AGATTCAGGGATTTTAGTTTGGAGTTCATTCCAATACTCTCAAAACTTTGATTTAGTTTATTTATTTATTCTTCGAATTCACAATAAAAACATGATATATATATATATATATATATATATATATATATATTATATATATATATATATATATATATATATATATATATATATATACAGAACATTTATATCATAAAATGAATAGACATTTAGAACAAAAATAGTATATAATGTTAAAAATAAGAAAAGAAGAAGACAATAATCGGAAAGACACCAAGTTCAGTCAATCCATGGAGACAAGACTGTTCTTCCATGGGGTCCAAGATGATTGTTATGATATTAAAAACTATGTTAGGCAAGCTATGGTAACAAATCTGAGCAGCGAACGACCGATTAGTAGCCTGCTCGGTCGCCGCTGGAATTTAGGCATGGCCTAACGATTTTTGTTTGGAGAAGTCGAGCAGGCTGTAGAGCCCCAGCGATGCCTGGGCAGTGCCCTGTCGATTTTCCGTCGGTCGCCGGTCGGTTTTATGTCAAGACAAGGCGAAATCGGAGAGCTTCTCCAGGCGGCGTCCCGGCAGTGGCCGACCGATGACCCACCGATACCCGAGCGGTCTCCCTACGGCCAACGGCTAATTTTTAGGAAATTGCCCGGCAACCGGTCGGTGATCGACGAGGTGCCAAAATACGCTCGGTGCGCGGGTGCTCGTCGCCCGGACACCGACCTAATCGAGCGATCGCCGTCGAGCGATTTAGGTCAAAAATCAAAGCCGCTAGGTCAAAGGTTGCTGACCGATTTTGAACTTGCGCCCAGTGACCGACTGATCTCCCAGCGGCGACCGGGCGGCGAACGCTCACCAGCCTTTGACCTAGCGGCTTCGATTTTTGACCTAAATCGCTCGACGGCGAACTCTCGATGAGGTCGGTGCGCGGTCGTAAAAAAAAAAATCGAATTTCAACAAGTGAAGCACATCATTTTAAAGAGAATGATGAAATATACAAGGTGATGTTAATAACTCAATAACCCCCAAAATCGGGTTAAGGCCCTTTTGGCATAAGGCCCTACGGCCAACGGCTAATTTTTAGGAAATTGCCCGGCAGCCGGCCGGTGATCGACGAGGTGCCAAAATACGCTCGGTGCGCGGGTGCTCGTCGCCCGGACACCGACCTAATCGAGCGATCGCCGTCGAGCGATTTAGGTCAAAAATCAAAGCCGCTAGGTCAAAGGTTGCTGACCGATTTTGAACTTGCGCCCAGTGACCGACTGATCTCCCAGCGGCGACCGGGCGGCGAACGCTCACCAGCCTTTGACCTAGCGGCTTCGATTTTTGACCTAAATCGCTCGACGGCGAACTCTCGATGAGGTCGGTGCGCGGTCGTAAAAAAAAAAATCGAATTTCAACAAGTGAAGCACATCATTTTAAAGAGAATGATGAAATATACAAGGTGATGTTAATAACTCAATAACCCCCAAAATCGGGTTAAGGCCCTTTTGGCATAAGGCCCTACGGCCAACGGCTAATTTTTAGGAAATTGCCCGGCAGCCGGCCGGTGATCGACGAGGTGCCAAAATACGCTCGGTGCGCGGGTGCTCGTCGCCCGGACACCGACCAAATCGAGCGATCGCCGTCGAGCGATTTAGGTCAAAAATCAAAGCCGCTAGGTCAAAGGTTGCTGACCGATTTTGAACTTGCGCCCAGTGACCGACTGATCTCCCAGCGGCGACCGGGCGGCGAACGCTCACCAGCCTTTGACCTAGCGGCTTCGATTTTTGACCTAAATCGCTCGACGGCGAACTCTCGATGAGGTCGGTGCGCGGTCGTAAAAAAAAAAATCGAATTTCAACAAGTGAAGCACATCATTTTAAAGAGAATGATGAAATATACAAGGTGATGTTAATAACTCAATAACCCCCAAAATCGGGTTAAGGCCCTTTTGGCATAAGGCCGACGATATGTGAATACCCATTCGTTACCATAAGTGTGACATATGGCGTTTTGAGAGGTATGTTTTAGGTGCTTAAAGTAGACTGAAAATAATGTTAGGGCTGTTTAACAGAAGGGTGAGTTTTCAGCACTACAGGTGTGATTTTGTGCATGCTGTTTGTGTGTGTTCTTTAGCACTATATTGGGTGCAAAAGTGTTAGCACTAGTAGTGCCGTTTTGGGGGCTCTAAAAGGGGTTATTTAATGCACTAAACGTGCGGTTTTTGCGAGCTGCATGCGCCTAATAGCACCAAAAGAGTAAAAGGGCTTACACTTAAAGTGTTTAAAGAAGCACTTGGACTGGTGTTGAAGTATAGCATGTGTACACGTGCTACTTAAACACAATTTGGGCAGTTCCTATGCCTGCCCTTACAGGTGCTGCTTCCAAATCTTGAGTTGCTAAAATTAGCACTTGATTTTTTAGAGTGTATGGTGGGAGCTATGCCTCTGGTTTATAGGTTCCGAGGGGTAGCTAGTTTTGAATTAGTCTTTAAAAAAGATGGAAGAGGCAAATAATGTCGATTGTAGCAATATAATTCGTATTTCCGAAATAAGGGCATGCTAAACTGTCGGGATCGAGATGTCAGTCGTTCGATGTTTCAAATAAACCATGAGGGTAATGCACTTAAAGCCCTCACTCTGAGCGCCCTAGAGCGCACGGAGACCGTGACAAACGGATCCCCTTGCAACAAGTCACTGCCCCCAGCAGCCAGAACACCCAATATACAAAAAATATCGCTTCACCAGGCAAGCCATTATTCTCTGCAGATACAACAAGAATCAATGAGCCGTGGCTACCTTGGCACTGCATTTCGCGACAGGGGAATAAATGAAATTGTCCCTCAGAGAAAAGACATAACCAAAGATGGACAAATAGACAAAGGGTTGTTGCAGATTAATTATTAGCACACTAGAAGCATTGTATTGTTGCTTCTGCCTGTAATGTTTAATAATTTTGAAGGAAAAGTTTCAGTTTCCGTTTGAATCCGAATAATGATATAGATTCAGGGATTTTAGTTTGGAGTTCATTCCAATACTCTCAAAACTTTGATTTAGTTTATTTATTTATTCTTCGAATTCACAATAAAAACATGATATATATATATATATATATATATATATTTATATATATATATATATATATATATATATATATACAGAACATTTATATCATAAAATGAATAGACATTTAGAACAAAAATAGTATACAATGTTAAAAATAAGAAAAGAAGAAGACAATAATCGGAAAGACACCAAGTTCAGTCAATCCATGGAGACAAGACTGTTCTTCCATGGGGTCCAAGATGATTGTTATGATATTAAAAACTATGTTAGGCAAGCTATGGTAACAAATCTGAGCAGCGAACGACCGATTAGTAACCTGCTCGGTCGCCGCTGGAATTTAGGCATGGCCTAACGATTTTTGTTTGGAGAAGTCGAGCAGGCTGTAGAGCCCCAGCGATGCCTGGGCAGTGCCCTGTCGATTTTCCGTCGGTCGCCGGTCGGTTTTATGTCAAGACAAGGCGAAATCGGAGAGCTTCTCCAGGCGGCGTCCCGGCAGTGGCCGACCGATGACCCACCGATACCCGAGCGGTCTCCCTACGGCCAACGGCTAATTTTTAGGAAATTGCCCGGCAACCGGTCGGTGATCGACGAGGTGCCAAAATACGCTCGGTGCGCGGGTGCTCGTCGCCCGGACACCGACCTAATCGAGCGATCGCCGTCGAGCGATTTAGGTCAAAAATCAAAGCCGCTAGGTCAAAGGTTGCTGACCGATTTTGAACTTGCGCCCAGTGACCGACTGATCTCCCAGCGGCGACCGGGCGGCGAACGCTCACCAGCCTTTGACCTAGCGGCTTCGATTTTTGACCTAAATCGCTCGACGGCGAACTCTCGATGAGGTCGGTGCGCGGTCGGGGACCGCCCGGGCACCGAGCGTATTTTGGGCGGCGAGTGAGCAGGCGCCGCCCAAAGTTTAACTCCGCGCTAAAACTTTACCAGCGACCAGGCGATACCCTAAGAACAAGCAGTGCCCGGGCGGCCGCCACTCGGTGCTTGGGCGAAATTGGCCCCAAACTCGCCGTCCGGCCGCCGAGCAGGCTACTTTTAGGTGATGTGACCATAGCTGCAGCGTCTCACACTATAAACATGACGGACAATGAAAGCGGACAAAATATACAGTTCCTCAGGTAGACAAAAGAACATCCCTTCACTGCTATTATGTAAAAAGGTGAATATGCATGTGACACCTGTTATAGACATTTTTACATAATAGCAGTGAAGGGATGTTCCTTTGTCTACCTGAGGAACTGTATATTTTGTCCGCTTTCTTTGTCAGTCATGTTCATAGTGTCAATAGCATTTACAGATAATTGTGACACTGCTTGGTGTTACACCACCAATCCTGGGATTAGATGGAGTAGTGTGATGTAGGTTTCCTCGACCCCAGATGCAAAGGTAGCGTTGTAGTGTTAAAATGTGAGCAAAGCGCTGTTCAAAATTAATTAATGTTCAATTCCATTCAATTTAGTTCAATTATTCACTCAATATATAAAAACATATACATGTACATACAGTTGCGTATGAACGCATATGATAAATATAAAAAGATGGAAATAGTCAAATCAGGAGTTGGAACCACTAGTAACATCAATTGAGTGGGGATCAGATTAAAGATCTGTTTAAAGAGTTTGTGTGCTCGACCCAATTGTGATGTATAAATTTCATTAAATATTGTTGCATGTACAACACACTGTTATATTGGACCATTTTGTTCGGTAACCTTAACCTATGTGAATGAGCTTTTAAAGAACAATGTTGACAGCCAATGTTAGGTGTTGATCCTTCATCTATTGGTTGTTTATCAAGAATATTTCATTCAAACGTATATTTATATATTTATTTGTTTCCTCATTAATTCATATATTTATTTATTAACATCTGGTTATATGCGTATAAATTCGTTTAAGTATGTATTTGTCAATGTATGCATTCTTTAACACACTTTCATTGTAGCATTACATGGCGTACATGATGCCTGTCCTCATGTGACTATGTCATGTCCTTCGATCACTCTGGAGAGCGGTGAGACTGTAGAATTGATCCCGAAACCGATGCAACCCGATTTGGACTGGTTAAAAGCCAACCTCCCAGCAGGCCTGCCAATTTCTGATGATGTCCGGCTTTACTTTTGCAGCGAACCAGGTAGTATTTTTATGCAAAGTCCCCAGCATTTGTGTAATACTGAAATGAAATAGTTTTATTAATATATGGAAGGTTTATAATTCCGATAAATAATATACTGTGCTACCTCATTTTCGAAATAACAAATCCTATTTCATCTTCGGAAATATGAACCTTCGGAATTACAAAACTATCGGATTAAAAAATCTCCGGAATAAACGAACTATCGGAATTACAAACCTGGTAGAAGGTTGGTACGTGTCATATACTTATTTGTTGGAATGTCATTTAGCACTGTATATACAAGCTACAATGTTTATTGTTAATTTGTGATTACTCGAGAAACAATAACACTTGTTGATTTTATTGCTTATATGAGTGTTTTATATATGTATTGTGAAACAAAATATTCATGTATACCAATAAAGTTTACTAATGAAATTCAAATTCAAATTCAAACCTTTGGAAAGACGACATGTAACCGAAAAATAAGGCTGTATCCAAAACAATGCATTTTTGTTTCAATTAATATTTATATGGCACTGAAGAAGAACCATTTTTTGTATTACTTGTGGATTACCCTATTACTTTGACCAGGCATTATATAATTATAAAGATGTCATTCATTCAATATAATTACAATTTTATATTCAATAATAGGGGATGTCGTGATAATTATAGTGGTTAATTCAACCATACAGGGTTTGAATCTCAGCCTGGCACTAAAATTTGCTTTGGCAAGGCATACTTGTCCCTCTCCACCTAGATGTAAATGAGTAAGTCTTTCGTCTACTTTGTGCATGGCTAATCGTCAACAAAACGGAGTTAAGTCTTTTGTCAACTATGTTTGTTGCTACGGCAGGTAGACAGTGAAAACGAATTTGTTTTATCAAATTATGGAAAAGCAAGCATTACTTTAAACAAAAAAACTTTGATATTCCTCGCTGATTTTTCCTGATTGAGGAATCATATGAAAGGGTAGAAAATGGACTTTCTAGAAATGTGATTTTCTCGTTGAAATTCAGATACCGCCCGCCAAAAATATTTTTGGTTTCCTCTCTTCAAGTTGTTTTTAATCAGTCATGTGTGAAATTATATGAGTTACATAAAAAAAGATGAGGATCTAAGCTTCACAAATATGTGTCATTTATTAATTATAATTGTGATTAAGTTATTATAAAACATCGATACTTCTCGGTTTCGTTTTTTTCTGGGACGCACTGCATATGACTGGAAGTGCTTTCAACAAGGCGCAATTTCACGGACCGCATTATAAATGAATTGCCCCTTTCACATGTTAAAGGTGTCAATTTAAGTTAATCGAAGATCATAATATACCAGGGCTGCTGTTGAATAAACAGGAACGGAAGTTTTCCGATGTGCGCTACAAAGCACGCAGATCAACTACGTTACAACGAACAACATGATCAATAAATGACGCACGACTGATTACAGACATTCTGAAGTGGCTGTGTCCGAAACCCAGATCAGGTCCGTCATTTTTCAATTTGAATGGAACTTAGGGCACACCTCCGTCACATTTGATGGTTGAGGGGGGGGGGCGGCATCGGTCTAACTCGAAAACGAAATAAGAATTTACAAGACTACTGTTTAGGGAGATCTAGTTGCCCAGGCGTATTTGTTTCAATTCATGTCACCCCCCCCCCCCCCTTCCCGTTCTCTCTCAAGTTCTCGCTTTCTTATTTATTTTTATTTCTTAGCCATTGGATTGGACACGACCTCTCCCGTCCCTTGTTTTTACACCACTGTTTTGGCTTATTCACTTTCTTATCAATGTTTTTTTTCTCCCTGTGTTATTTCTGTCACCAGCATGCCTCTCAAACCCTTGTCTTCATGGAGACACTTGCGAGGAGACGGACACAGGATTTACTTGTCTCTGTCTAGAGCGCCACCGTGGTGAAAGGTGTGAAGAAGGTAAGTAATACAAAGGGAGTTGAATGATTTGTTGTGTAACGGGGGACCCTTGTCTAACATCGAAATGATTGTACCTATGAAGATAGCGAGCATGGCGAGATAATATGACTAGCATGGTTTTTACAAAAGTAAAGCCCCGTCTTAATATAACTTTTCGATCTCACCCGAGTGACATGTCGATGAGAAACAGTGGGGAGGGGGGGGGGTCTGATCGTAAAAAACACGGTGAGCTTTTGCCTGGCTCATGGACACCGTCTTAACCAGCCATCCGCAAAAACATCATCCGGGTAGGTTACCATAACAACCGCACCTCCCTCATCGCGATCAGCTGGCGCGCACTGTGTACATGTATACACTTTTTGACGTCATCTACCCGGGTAAAATTCCGCGCGCGTCTTAACAGGCCGTTCATCAGGATGTCATCCGGACAACGTCCGGACGTCACCTCGATATCACCTTGGCCCGACTACGGGGAAATTTACCTCGATGTCAACCTCGATATTTTCCGGACGTTAACCCGATTGACGCATCTTAAAGGTAAAGACCAGTATTGGAAACGCCCCAATTTCAAAAAATGAAATGGAAGCTCTTATTACCAATCATGTGAAAGAATATGTTTTGAATATTACATGACGATAAAAATGTTGACGGGAAACCGCCTACTCATTGATATATTTGGTAAATTAGTACATCTATATACTGTTGAGAGATACAAATGCACGTGTCGCGCACGTGTGTGTAGTCCCATATACATCTTTCTGTGTACAGTGCTTCTAACTTTATGAAGACTTGGCCAAATTTCTTATAATTTGGATGATTCCAGAACTTTGCAGTACATCTATGCTAGATGATCAACCTTTTCTGATCGATTTCACAACGTTTCTTTCACTATGCAATTGCATGACCATAACTGGTCTTTAGCTTTAAAACAGGAAGGGGGTAAATGTCATCCGGACAAAATCCGGGCGACACAGCGACTTTATTTTCCGGTTAAGAAGGAGTTTAGATGCAAGTAAGTGCGACATCGCAAAGTCAGATTTAGATATTTGTAAGCAAGGAGGGGGGGCAGCAAACCATTGTTTACATAGAGGCACTTGTCAGCAGAGCAAGACAATTACTACTGTCTCTGCTTTGATAAATGTCGTGGTAAAAGCTGTGAGGATGGTAAGACATAGGTAGAAACAGACAAGGGTTTGTTTTTTCGATGGGGAGGGAGGAGGCAAACCTTGGTCAAAATATTTGTCTCCATTGAGGACTCGGCGAGTATGAGGATGGTAAATGAGAAAGAGGCATAAACGGAGGTTTTATTTAAGGGTGTAAATCCTCGTTGAACCCTTTTTTTACATGTATATGGGGGTAACTGTACTCTTGAGGAGAGCGATACAGGAGTTTCCTGCCTCAGGTTTGAAGACCATTATGGTAAACATCTGAGGAAAATTATTGGCTAAGTATATGAAATAATAAGTACGGTCAAACCAGTTTAATAGTGGCCACCCCTATATAAACGTCGCCTGTCTATAATCACCATGTATTTTGACTCCCTTGAGGAAGAAAAGAAGAAGATTATTGCCTTGGATGCTCTTACTTGACAAGTTTGACTGTTTTAGAAATAATCTACTGTTTTGTGTAGTATGATGAACACAATGTTTAAAGTTGATCAGAAAATGTGGTCATGTGACCTTGTAGATCTCCATGTCTGCGCTATTGTGATAAACTGTGTTTCTGCAATAGTTCCCAGAGGGATTTCACAGGGACTCCAGAAATACGTTTGTACGAAGTGCTATTAAAATGAACTTTGAGTGGAATCTATATTTTCATGCAGTGAAGTAGTGTATCGTAATAGTGACATCCTTTTCGTTGAATTTCCCTGCGCTTCGTCCAACGGGAACGAATGTTCAATTTAATTACATATTGACATCCAAGTTTTCATTTTAGCAGCAGGCCCTTGAAATATAGGAGTGGTAGATCACAAATCGTTCATTAACTATTCATTAATTGCAATCACACACAAAAAAAAACGTGTTCTAATACGACTAAGGCTTGAGTACTTAGTGACTTTGATGTAAATATACATGTAAGATGGTCAATTTACGTATCTAAAAAGTACGTATCTATGACACTTTACATCGCCGTAAATTCTTGTCTAAAACTTGTTTTTCCCGGGTCACTAATTGAGTTCCGTTTTCTCTCTTTTCCCCTATAATATATTCGTCTTATTTTCATTGTAAACTATATAGATGTAACCATCAATTCGTTAAAGCTTCTTGGTGAAAAGAAAAATGAAGGAACGCTTGCCTTGACATCCCGCTCCAGTCCTAACACGTACGTGCTGGTGAATCAAGATCATTGGAACAAGAACTTATCCCAATTTGCATGTCAATATCTAGGGTTTGAAGGTAAGACATTATCATTATCATCTTAATGGTCCTCCACTTCTTCCTATTATCATATATTCATAAACAGCCGTTTTCTTAACAAGCTTCTCTTTCCAGCAAACTTCCCTGTTAATATAAATATGATTTTTGTTTCCCTTCTAAATTATACTCTCTGTATGATTATGTTACCAACATATTTAATTTGCCTCTTTCTTATTGTGTTGATGAGTGATGGTTTTATGAGCACTTGTTCATTTCTTATCTTCTCTGATCATGATTTATTCATAATCATTCTCAACAACCAGATCTTTGTGGCCTGTAATCTTCTCTCAATCTCTTTGTTTATGTCCAACACTCACACCCGTAGAGAAAAACTTATCAGATATAATGACTCAAAGCTATGTGTTTTGGTTTTCGTGGTAGTGTTCTAATACTTTTATTACGGATTTCATTTGATTAAATGTACCCCTCGCAATTACAATTCTTTCATTTATCTCATGACTACTTTTTTTCGAATCCGATGCTAAATTTACCCAAGGTATTTGAAAGTGTGGACTTCCATTATTGTTTCCTATTATTTTTGAGATTCCATAGATGTGTTTCAGTCTTTGTAAAAATATTACCATACAATTATTTATTGTCAAACACTGGTGTTATGATCAAGACTATATATATTCTGGTCGAGTTGGAGATTTAAATTCCATTTTCTGGTTGATTTTCTCCCTCTTTAGTCTCTTATCCTTACCAGTTTTCAAAACGTTTGTTTCGGGAGCCTACCATAATTATGTTGCATGTCATCACAAATCAATTTTTGTGGTACTCGATGAAGTTAATAATTTTGTTTTGGTTTGCATTTTTGTCTTCAAAATAATATTTTGACCACTCTTGTATACTACTTTTTACTTCAACTTTATTGAACAAGGAGTATTTGCGACAGTGAGCGGTCCACTGTACGAGTCCCCGTCCGTCGATGTTCCTGCTGAAGCCGAATCAGTGGTATGTCCTGCAAATGCCACAAACATCACCGACTGCTGGTACAGTGAGATTAAAGTGGGACATATAAACGCGAGTGAAATTATTTCCATTGTGTGTTGTCCCGGTGAGTAGTACTAATAATGATATTAATACAAATAATCATGATAAAAAATAATAATAATAATGATACTAATAGAGCAATGATTACAAATATGATGATAATGGTGATGATATTACAAATAAAATGATACTAATAATAATGATGATATGCCTCTTCTACACAGGGTAAACAGAGAGTTACTTCGTCAATAAAGCTTCATGAAAATGAAAACGTGTTCTACGTATACAAGGAGTGTTAACAAATGGAGACATATTTTAGTTGGCGATATCTTTATAACCTGCAGTGATATTCTTTAGTGTTCCTGTGATTTCCAACATAATTCAAGCGAAAAATACTAAACTAACGATCATTTTTAAAGGAATTTTGTAATATTGTTCAGATGAGAGAAAAGGGTGTTAAGGAATTGACGTCAAAGCTAAATGTACAATTTAAGTTAATCTGAAAGTTTGAGTAAAAACGGATCATTATTAAATGATGACAATTGTGAAAAACTGATCCGATCGATTCCAGAATTCTCAAACTATATTATTATAACTTAATTAAATTCCAGGTGAATGTAAATCATCACAAAGCAATGAATCGGCTCTATAAACGATTCCAGACATTTAAGTGTCTTTGACAAATTTTGTCAAGCCTCTCTCATATCTTATTTCCAAAAAAAACGGTTGGGAAATTCAAAAATGGTTGTGAGAATGTTAATGTTAATGTTAATCGGTTGTTAGAGCCCCCAATGTATTACTGGTAGCTACATGCTCCCTCTATATAGAAAAGTTCCCCAATCGGTGCATGTTGGTCCCCCATTATCCTCTTTTTCTTATTCTAGTTGATAGCTGAGTTAATGAAATAGCAACCTGTCAGTGACCTCGCTGTGTGTCGCTCTGTGTCTAATCCCTATGGCCCAGTAGTATTGACGGTCTTTAAGGAAAACCGTAAATATCTACGTGGTTCCAGAATTTTTTCAGGAATTTATGCCTGTTAGAGATATTTACAGTAGAAAGAAAATAATAATAACTTTTTATACAAAAATTACACATTTTTTCAGCAATCTTCAACAATGTTAACGAGTCACTTTAAGAAACGTAGCATTTCAAAACTCTTATTATAATTGCTTATTTTGCAAACAAAACTTGAGGTTGGATTTTAAAGATACAGTTGAATTCTGGTCATGCGATTGCATTGCAAAAGAAAAGGTGTGAAATGGATCAGAAATAGTTGATCATGTAGCATGTAAGTTTTGGTGTGTACTGCAAGGTTTTTGAGTCATCAAAATCATAATAAATTTGGCCCAGTCTTGGTAAAGTAACAAGCACTGTACACAGAAAGATGTATATGGGACTACACACATGATATCGGACCTACTTACATTGATTTTCTTATCTTTCTACGTTCATAACTCGGCCAGTATATATTTTCTACTAAAATTGTTTGGCAAATGACATTTATTTGTAATATTGGACATTCAGTGTAACTGTATGTTCCGTTTGATTCTGTGAGAATTCATTTTCTTTTTGTTTTTACTAGAACTCAAGTTTATCTTTAAAGAAAAATAAATACACAAACATTAAGACAACAATAATATTTTAGAAATAATGTACCCAAGGTAACGAAAATGTAGAATCTCTTATACATAAATAAGTGAATAGCCATGTGCAACAATCAAAATAATAAACATTATTAAACAATTTATTGTAAGCTCATGAGTACAACATTTCATAACGATGTTATTGTTAAGAGAGAAATGCAATGAATTACATCATTGTACAGTTAGCATTCCCCTGGCGCCCGAATGTTTTGGCGCAAGCTCCCAAAATAACATCAGTTATTGATACAAAAGGGGTTATGAATTAAAATTAAAAATCATTTACACGCAGATCAATGTAATGTAATGTATTGTTTTTGTTGCATAACCTAACATATATATACATTTGAATACAGTATATTTTTCCTACAATATATTGGTTGCCATAATGATTGAAATAGAAATGAATAGAAAAAGTACGAAACTTATAATACTCCAAAGCCTTCTTCAGATAATTTCTTTTGCAACTTGTTTTTAAAAGATGTTTTAAATACAGGTTTAAAGGTTCAAAGGTTCAAAGGTTCAAAGGTTCAAAGGTTCAAAGGCTCAAAGGTTCAAAGGCTCAAAGGTTCAAAGGTTCAAAGGTTCAAAGGTTCAAAGGTTCAAAGGTTCAAAGGTTCAAAGGCTCAAAGGCTCAAAGGTTCAAAGGTTCAAAGGTTTAAAGGTTCAAAGGTTCAAAGGTTCAAATGCTCAAAGATTCAAGGGTTTACGTTTATTCTCCACTTTCTCATTTCGGATAAACATATATAATAAAACATAAACAAACAAAAAAAGCGCATTACCAAAATCGGTACAACAATAATGTTGCAACTCTTAAACAATGTACATACTTCTTAATCAGTGAACATAATATGAATGTAAGCATTATAAGATAGTTTTAAAAGATAATCATTCTTAATTAACATCACAATTTGAGAAAAAGTGGAGGAACCTTAAAACAAAAAATAAAGCTACTGGTCCTTCTTTAAGGAAAAATTCAAATTAAAAAAAAAAGGGGATAACGAGTTTAGTGCTAGGGCAGAGAGGGAAAAGAGACGAGAATAAAATAGACAAGAAAAATGGAGGAGAGAAGGTGAAAGAACAGGAAGGATGGGTTTGAAGAGAGAGCGAGCTTGAGGAGGAAAAGAAGAGAATATGAATTACAAGGAAGTAGAAGGGGAAAATGAAAAAAACAGGAAGAAGGAGGAGAGAGAAAGTTCATTTGTCACGAAATACAAAAGCGAAATGTGTACGCCTGATATATTAGGGGGCACTGATGCGTAATGCCATCTCTTTGTAAACATTTGAAAAATTGTACATTTTATTATTTACTTAGATGTTATAACATTTAAAAAAATTAAGGAGAAGTTAGGGGATACTACAACATCCCTCACCTACGAAATTTTACCTAGGACGGTAAAATGCATTTTAAGATATCAAAATGCAACACCGCGTATACTGACGGTTTTATGACTTGGTATGGTGTGAAATATTATTTTCACTCTCGTGTTTTATTTACACTTCTAGGCCCCTGTCTTTCTACTCCGTAATATGTTTTTATTATTTATTGACCTTATTTTCAACAGTAAACCCGTGTAATATATCTGGTCCACCTCTCGGTCTTGAAAGTGGTGCTCTTCCCGATTCGGCTTTCTCTGAATCATCCTGCCACTTGGCGCATTGCAGTCGTGGTGGCCGCCTGAACTCTAAGTCAGCCTGGCTCCCAGACTCGACCGACCCATCCCCTTGGATGCAGGTTCAATTTGAGTCTAGTTATATCGTAACGGCCATAACGACTCAGGGTAAAGTAAACTACGATGATTGGGTGACGTCATACACTTTTTCGTCTAGTTTTAACAACACGTCTTGGACTGATTATTTGAACGTATACTCTGGATCAATCAAGGTAATTCCAAAACTGCGGTTCCTCACACACATTAAAAAAGCTATTAATCATTGGTCTTTGTGATCAGAGATATACTGTGTGACCTCGTAATAATACCATGGGACAAAGGATCTCACATTTCTCGTTTTATGTAATAATGGGTGACTAAAAAAGTATAATGGGCAGATAAAAGGCAAAATAGCAACATACATAATATATGTTTAGGCCTATGTATATAAAAACAACAGAAGATTATTTTTACAACCCATGCAACTAAATGAAAAGAATATACACAGAATTAAAAGAAACAAGAAACAAATCTCTCACAAATAACGCCTTGGTTAAGCTAGCCATGTTGATAGGGAGCGCAGGAACTCAGGTAGCTCTTCTCCATTTTACACAATGTTGTTTAGGGTACTTAGATATGGACTTCATAACAAATGGGGGGAAAAAGAAGAAGAAAAAAAAGATGGCCATGATATACATAATTGGCTCTTCTTGACAACAATTTGTGTAGTCAGCGTTTTATTAATTCACAGGCCGTATATGGTTATGAACTAACGATGAGCTTCATTAAGACTGAGTTTTCTTTCCAATACTTAATGTCATTCTCATTCAATTTATTTTTTACAGATATTTCCGGGAAATTACGACCATGATAGCCATGTGACTCACACGCTTGCTAGGCCGATAGTTGGACGCTCTTTTCGGATCTATCCAAAGACCTATCACGTTTACTTTTCTTTGAGGATGGAACTATATGGGTATGGACCTCTAACTGATGCTATAGGTAAGTGCAGAGTACATGTAGGACTGATACTGCATGAGAAGGTTTATATATAAATTTGCTGAAAAATTGAAAATAAAATCGTGAGCTTTGTATGTCAGTGGGAAAAAAATTGTCCCCTTAACTGCATTGCTCTTGAATTGCTCTCATCATTCTGCTAGAGACGGTCAAAACTTGAAAACTCTCGACGAAAAACTTGTGTGTAGTCCCTATCACCCATTCATGTGGGGAATGCATTGACTTCAGGCGCGGTTTGAAATCCTTTTTATTTCAATTTTTGATCATGTTAAAACCCCCGAGTATATATCATTTTGATATGTTCTACAAGGCCAACCTTTCGCAATTCTTCTGGAAAGTTTATGTCATAATGTGATGTTATGGCCAGTTCTGGTCATATTTTTGTTAGGAAACAATGCAGTGGGTTATCATGGGGAATGTGAAACAATTTTAATGTTAGTCGGTATCGAGTTTATCAATCGCACAAATAATGTAGTGTTCTATTAAGACCAACCCTTTATCATTGTCAGGAGAACCGCCCCATCGCACACTACCCCATCCTCCTGCGATCCGATTTTCGAAAAAACGGCAATTATATTAGATATAGAAATCTAAACAAACATCATATTTTTAATGTAGGTTCTGAATAATGATAAGAATAGTATTAACATGAATTGTTATATTTTTTGTATTTATACACATCTTTAAAAAAGAAAGGTAGCTCAATCAGCAAATAAATGCTGGTTTTTGTTGAGGCCCATCATAATAAACAAGTATATACATTTTATCAACACATCAAAATATAAATAAATATAGAAAATTACAAAACACGATTTTAACAAACACAAAATTGCAAACCAGGTTATAAATAAGGATTTGAACATGAGAATAACGAAATAAAAAATATATATAAATGAAACAAACATGTAATTGCCATATATCTTAATTGAAGCAAACAGTAAAAAAAAAAAAAAAAAACAGCAACATACAACCATAATAACAAACCAATAAGAGAAAACAAGAAGAAGATATAATAACATATATACAAAGAGGAGGGAAAGAAGAGTTATATCATACCATAATCATATTACAACGTGTATGTTTTTTGCCATTTTGCCAATTCTTGTTTAAATGGTTTCATATTTTTGTATAAATCGAATGTGTTCGGGTAGTTTATTCCAGTTTGTTGGACCTGTGTCAAGAAATTACTTCTGATAAAAGGTCGTACGAGCATGTGCCATCCTAATTAGCATCTTATTTGTGCTCCTTGTTGTTCGAGATGATATCGCTTCAATATAAATAAACTTATTACCGAGTTCATCAGGTGCAGCTTTATGTAAGCATTTGTGAATCATACAACAAGATGCTCTAACAAACAAATGATCTATTTTCGGCCACGTTAGAATTTCAAAAATGTGTTCAGATGGGGTTTCCAACGAAAAACGAGATATCATATATGCTGCCCTTTTATGTAATCTGTCCAGTTTACTATGATCTGCTTCAGATCTCACCTACCAAACGGTACACCGGTAAATTAAATGGGGCACTACAAAAGCCAAGTACAGTTTGTTTAATTGTGCTTTATCAAAATCGACGAATAGATCGTAATTTCTGTTTCAAAATAAAGCAATACCTCCGATATGTATTTGTTTAAGTCAAGACTGTTCTCATTTATAACTTCCAAACATAATTCAATCGACAGCATACTGTTATCTAATGATCTAAGCTTTTGCTTTGATCCTAGCAGCATCAATGTTGTCTTATCACTATTCACTTTTTTCTTTTTTAAATTCAGTTATGAGTTCTGAGTTTTTGATCGATCGGGTGGGTGGTACATGCGCAACATTACTTATTATAGGCTCTGTATAAGCTTGGCTTGTTAGAACTCTTTTGAGTAATGTGCCACGGGATTCCATATCCTCAAACTGCTGGCGAACAGAGCAACAAGACCAAGCTCTGTAATTATTAGGATCTCTGTCCAGTAGTGCCGTGTCTGTGCCGTCGAACTGGGACGACCAAATCCATTGATTCATACATAATTTCTTTTCCCCCGTAACATGAGAGTAATTTTAATAGTTTCATACTATTAATTAAATGTAAAGTTGACTGTTATTGTATATTTTTTTTTAAATGGGGGCACGCTACAATAGTCCTATCTCGCAACCTGGGGCAACGTGTCTGACACGGCCGGTTGTAGCAACTACTCCGAAGATCAAGATACTTTAATCTCGATCTAAGGAGACACGAACGAACTATTCAAAATCAACTTATTTTTATTCAGCCAAGAATTCAGTTTATCATGAGCTTTTGTCAGTTTGAGTTCTACCTCTTGCTTAGTTTTTCCCATGGACATTCATCGTTTTCTTAACGAATTCATTGTAATTGTCCCCGTCAATGTCGTCTCAATAGCATTCCGTACATGTTTCTTCCCTTTGGTCTCATCATGGTCGCCGGCAAAAAGCCGGGACAGAATCAAGATAGTGATTTTACACATGTTAATCTACATGCGCAGAAGATAATTACTCGCCTAAATCATGGAAAATAGATGTGCAGTTTGATTGAAAAACATGCTGATATTACCAGGTAGAGGTTATTTTTGGATTTTTTGGTTGTGATTTAAAATCCCGTTTCCCCCTACTTCCTTATAATATTCCAGAGTTACAACGCACAGGGCTAATACAGATCATGGCCTTCTAATTGTTTTATAAGGTCATAGGTGTGTGCGAAAGTTTGCGAATCAGTAATAATACATTTCATATCACCCAAAATCTTCTGCTTTTCAACTTTGCTGCTCCCCATTGAGGATGCTTTTATTTAAGACACACTCTTACAGAGCACACCATCCAAACAAAACCCAAGCGAGGGAAACTGCTCCTTTGGCAATGACCGAAAATGCTTACGCAGTCGTTAATGTTAACACAGCTGAATGTTCTCATTAAGACGCACATAATCAGAAGGCGGCGACTATGATTGGATCAAAGAAAGAACACGTTGAATGTCCATCCGTATTAAGTCCATGGTTTTTCCACAAACAGAAATAGTAGTATCATCTGCATATATATATAAACAATGCCATTTGAGATGGTACATGGGAGGTCGTTAACATATAGAGTAAAGGAGCGGGGCCAGGATGGACCCTTGTGGAACTCCCATTGTTATATTTCTAAATGTTGATTTTTCTTTCTTAATGAGACAAATTGTTGGCGATTTTCCAAGTATGATTCAAACCATTTAATTACATTAGGGGAGCAACCACATTGATGTAATCTATTTAAGAGGAGAGAGTGGTTGACTGTATCGAATTGAGTGCAATTAATTCTTCTTGTCAGAATCGGCTTCAGATCGTAGACAATCGCCTGACGTCTACGAGTCTGAAGCCGATTTAGCTTGTCCTCAAGAAATCGTCAAATCCCTCGAAATCAATTCAATATTCAATTCAATTCAATTCAATAAGGGTTTATTCATATGACGTTCTTGCAGTCGAAGCTGAATTGCAGGTCATTTATACAAGGTAAAAGCATCATGATATTTAAAATACACTGAGCATAAAATAAAATAACATTAATGACATATACAAGGAAAAATATACTAAATACATTTTTATACACATAATAGGCAACATCATTAAGCATAAACATATAAAAAAAATACATGAAGCTTACTTTTTTTAATAATAATCGTTTAAGATACGAACAAAATAGGGAATAGAGCTATTATTAAAGCGATTGGTTTTACAAATAAATTGAGAATATTTCTGTACATTTCGTAAATTAAATTTAACAATTCTTTGACTTGGTAGCCATAAAGAACACAATTCATGCTTTCCCAACTTAATGGCGAAATCCAAACAAAGTTTATTCCTACGTTCTTCCAACGTTAACTAATTGCACAATTCTAGAGCATGATTATATGTGTCATAATTAAGTCCCAAAATAATTATAAATGCCCGTTTTTGTATTCGTTCAATATTATCTGTTTGTATACGTGTTAGGTTGGAATGAAAAAGTGGTGCACAATACTCTAATATTGGTCTTATGTATCCATTATAAACAATAACGAGATCACTAATAGGTCAATTAAAACGTTTCAAGGTACGTAACATTTATAACTTTCTATTGCACTTCTTAACATTTCCTTTACTTGAGTATCCCATTTTTAACCACATTGAATATAAACTCCAAGAACTTTGATTACATTTTCTTCATTTAAAAGTGTCTCATCAATATACAACAGTTGGTGAGTTTGATTTTTGTATAAAAGAGACCGTCATAGCAATGCATTTAGTTGGGTTAAGTTTCATATTATTGAGTAAAGACCAATTTTCTAATAACAATAATTCCGATTGCAATTTTGATATTTGTGTACAAGTCCGGCTTTCAACTATAGTTAAATCATCTACATACTTATACAAAGGGAGTAAACAATCTTGACATGCATCGTTAACCATAATTAGAAATAATATATGCCCCAATTTTGTACCTTGAGGGACTCCTACATTGTTATTTTTTACATTTGAAATACGACCTTTATACCTTACTACTTGTTGGCGGCATTCTAAAAAAATTACTATTAACGAAATGACACATGGTCTTACATCCAATTTAACAAGTTTGCAAATTAAAATATTATGATCAATCCGGTCAAACGCTTTAGAAAAATCGGTTAAAACTATGGTTGAAATTGTTTGTTTTTTTCATCTGCACTTTTGCATAAATTATGTAATATTCCAATTAAATAATGGCAAGTAGAAAGACCACGACGATTTCCATACTGGTTTTTATCAATCATATCACCAATATCCTCCCACAACCACTTAGTAATGAAAGTTTCAGCTATTTTAGCAAAGTAAGAAGTTAGGGCTATGGGCCGTAATTCAGGTAGAGTTGGTGGATAGGATTTGGGTACTGGTATTATCTCGGCATACTTCCATACTTGTGGAAACACCCCTTGCTTAAATGCAAAATTAAGAATATAACATAATATATAAGATAATTCATAAGCAAATTCACGTAATATTCGGACAGGTAAGTCGCCTAAAATAGTAGATTTTTGTAAATTAAGTTTACGTAACAGATCATACACTTCTTTCGGTTCTATTATTGAGCAATCCACAGGTGAAGGTAAATATGCTGTTAACTTCGTTTTATCAAGTTTCGGTAGGTCTGCTGCCACAGATAAAAACTTTAATGCAATCGGCTGCTTCCGGCTGCTTCCTTAGAATGTTCAGGCTGATCAGTTGCAATACGTGGTATGTCAATGGATGGTTGATCTTGAGGTCCTTGAGTGATGAATTTTATATGACGATACCAATCAGCGGGATTATGTATTTTAAGTGTATGAATTCTTTTATTATAAAATGAGTCCTTAGCTAATATTATTGCATCTATAACTTTGTCTCTAAAATATGTCCACAGCTCTTTATTACCAGAGTGCCAAGCTTGCTGTCTTCGTTTAATTATCTCACAAGATATCCAAGGTTTATCGCTTGCGTGAAATTTGACAGTCTTAGTAGGTAGGGACTGATCAATATGTTCTCGCACAACACTATAAAATAAATGACACATATCCGACGGGTCGATGATTTGATACAAATCTTCCCAGGTGTGATGGGTTATCCAAGTGCCAAACGCTCGGATTCCACTATATGTTAGAGGGCGCACTCAATTAAGATTTGATAATTCATATGACGATTCGGATCTTTGATCATTAGGATTCAGTACATGTTGAATATTTTCTATCAAATGTTGTTACATATACATGTACCTCGACAATAGGGTCGTAGTCAGATCGCATGGCGTGCGATTGTTTTTACTCATCCATCATAAATTCCCAGCGTGCGACATGCTTAAACATGTGAGTTGGTAGTGGCACCTTAACCGGTGTAAGCGAATAATACCCAGAGCACATAGGATCTTTCCGCCGTAGCCAATAGTGCTGCGTTGTGATGTGGTAGGGTTCCATTACTTTAAGATTCCAACGAATACGGGGATAATTTGATCACATTTCGTCTAGCGCGTATGCAAAGAATAATTCAATTCCATCGGCCAATGCCGAAAGGTGACCCTTAAAAAAACTAATTATTATCTTTTCCCTCTATTTGAAATTCTCGTTTAGGTTACGAGTTGTCGCGGGTTTAACTCCCGGACAGGCAGCCCCCCCCCCCCCATCTGTAAGAACATGAATATTGTAGATGATTAAATCTCACCATGGACCTGTCACATTCACACATTCACTGTCACATTCATGCTCAAGCAATACAGCAAAATATTGCTTAAAATAACTCATGTACACCTTTTACAGGTATTTTATTAGCAAAATAAACATACCTGTTTTTTCATAATCATTATAACTATTGATTACAATATACGTACCATTCTAAATTACAAATACCTCCCTTTGTTTGTACTACATGTGTTGTTTTTGTTTAGTTTTTTTTTTATCCATTGCTCGTATGTTTTTTTTTATTTTATTAGTACGTTATTTACCTTGTTGACAGGGTAGATTTCCGGATTACATTTAAGGACAAATATATTGAAAGGACAAACTTGCCTTGCAAATTAGTAGGAAATATAAGAAAAGTAGTGAGAATGTCCAGTTAAATTTTTAGAATCACTTATCACATTATCGATGAAAACTTCTGAAATCTTTGAATATCTGAAAGAAAAATATAGAATCAACTCTCGAAAATATTAAAGGGACTTTGTAACATTGTTCAGATGAGAGATAGTGGTGCTAAGGGAGTGACTTCAATGCTAGATGTACAATTAAAGATTATCTGAAAATTTGAGTGAAAACGGATCATTATTCATGGTGCAAATTGGGAAAAACTGATCCAATCGATTCCTTAATTCTCCCAACTATATTATTCTACTTCTATGCTGCTACTTGTCATAGCCTGTTCAGCATCAAGACAAGGACAATTTAATTACATTTTAGGTGAATGTAAATCGTCACAAAGCAATAAAATGGCTCTAGATTCCATTCTTGACAGTTAAGTGTTGACATATTTTTATAACCTGTTTTATGTATTTTTCTCATGGAAAAACGGTTGAGAAAATTCAAAAATGGTTGGGAGAATTTACTGTTAATCACTGTTAGAGGGTGCCTCACATCAACGCCTTCAAAGAAAACCATAGATATATTTGTGGTTTGAGAATTTGTTCGGGATTTTTTGCATGTCAGAGGGTTAGTATAGTAGAAGGAACATAGTCAGTAACATTTTATACAAAAATTAAGCAATTTTTTTCATCAACCTTCAACAATATTACCGAGTCACTTTAATAAGTGTAACATTCGAAACGAATATAAAGTATGTTTACTCCCTAGATATGCACTCCTGTCTCTCCGTTACATGCTTACCGTTCATGATGTTCATGCAACGCATCTGAAATCTCTTGATATAATATTAGATATATATTAAGATATGGTTAGGAATACCGTCACGTGGTGCCAACCTTGCTGTGGTCCACGGTCCTGATGGCTTGAACATACCTTCCATTTCGGACCTTTACCGAATCTGTCATTGTCTGGCTTAAAGTAGATCTAGGGTCAAAGACGACGATGTTGTAAATCACGCCATTGACCGAAGATTAGATAGGGAAAGGGGTGGTCACGACAAACGTCGTTCACTTTGGAAGCACATGAAATTCACTCAAAAATACCAGACTCTGTAACCTGGAACCAGACAAAAAATGTGATTAAAAAATCAGTTCAAGATGTATGTAGAGAAAATTGGAAAAGGTTGATCGAACCATTACTTGTACAGAGGGAATTCATGAAAGTTGTTCATATGGAAAATACTGATGTAACCTGGAAGTCGATTATTTATAACTTACCTCAGAGCGTAATGAAGTTCACTGTTAATGCAGCAATAGATAGTCTTCCTACTAACAAAAACCTGTACCGGTGGGGAAAAAGAATCTCTGATAAATGTAACCTTTGTAATTGTACTGGCACTCTGTACCATGTTCTTAATAATTGTGAAAGAATGCTCGACCGATATACCTGGCGCCACAACAATATACTACGCATCATGCTCAAACACATTATAAGTACTACCCAAACCTCGATGCCATATGTAATATGTGGCTGTATCAGAGCTTTATACAACAGTATCAATATATGTTTAGGGACAAAGTGCCGTAATTTAAAGAGGATACCGACCTTTCTCCGTATACAGTCATTAACAGATTTTATATGTGAATTCCATGTTAAATGTCTGTCAATGGTAATGCCAACAAATGTTGCTTCCTCCACTTCTATTAATTCTGCCCCAGATATTTTTAATCTCCCTTTAAGCACAGCCTTTCTTCTACGACTACTGAAGAACATGAAATTGGTTTTTGACGCATTGATAGTAAGCTTATTTGCAGTGCGCCAATTCTGTATTGATTTTAAATTTTCATTAACTTCACACTCATCTATTTGATCTACACCTTTGGGAAAAGTATGAAAAATATTAGAATCATATGCAAATAGTCTGAAATTTAAATAATTGTTCACAGTTGGCAAGTCATTTATATAGATTAAAAACAGAGTTGGTCCTAAGACAGAAACTCTTCAAACAATAACATCTAAGTATATGCAGACATGGAAGGAGAAAGCATCAATGGGGGCACCATACCACCAAACATAATACGTACTCAACACAAACCAGACATCTGCCACATTGACAACAAAAATAAGGACATTATCATCATCGAACTCACAGTCCCCTTCGAAATAAACATGGACAATGCACATCAACGAAAACAAGACAGATACACAAGACTAACACATGACATAACAGCAACAGGGTGGAAGAGCACACTAATCTGTATTGAAATCGGTTCACGTGAACTCATAACCCCACAAAATAATTACCGTCTAAGAGAAATACTCAAAGTCACTAACTCAGCTAGGTACCCCGAATCCAGAGACGAACTATGGAAGGCCGTTCTATTTAGTTCTTATGTTATATTCCAGGGAAGACGTGAGCCAGCATGGCAACTGGATCAATACCTCACATTATAATTTATCAATTTTTATACATTAATTTTTAATCATTTCCTGCTTATCAATGAACTTGTGACCATTTAGTACCAAACTGGCAATATTTACCGTAATACGTCACTTATTTCGATTCAATTCCATTATTGACTAATGTATCATTTATGGGGATCTTTCCTTCCTCATCATAATGTTACAATCTTCTTCTTTTACCCTGTTCTGTACTATACCACTTCTTTTTTCTCTCCTTTTCTCCCTTTCTACTTTTCACCTCTTCCCTTTCCCTTTCTCTCTATCTTGGTGCTCCTTGTAATCATTGTACATTGTAACTACAATGACGAATATTTTGTATTATAATGTACTTTCCTATTGTATATATTTTTTATTATAACCTGCCGCCTAACTCACTGGGTTGACGGGCCTGGTTTTCTGTATATGCATGATCTCTAATAGAGACTTGATTTATCATCAAAGTAGTGAGAAGGTCAGTTAGGTGTTTTCGTGTTTGTTTTTTTCATTTTTTTTTTTCATTTTGTGTTTCTTTCTTGCAGCGTCGCTGAACCTCGATGCGAAACTTGGTTGCACTCCTCCTGTCCTCGGCGAGGGGCTCGGCGTGGAAGATGGTCGGATACCAGACTCTAGTCTGACCTCGTCATCGTTCTTTCATTCCACCCATGAAGCTTACAGAGGAAGGCTGAATGAAGTTTTCGTTACAGAAGTATCCGCCGGTGCGTGGATCCCCGCCCCTGGTGACAACACTAAGTGGATAAAGGTAATTAACCCTAGCATGTTTTAAATGTGCGTTGAGATAATTTTAATTGAAGCGGACCCATACACTGTTAGAACAATGATCATCATCGTCGTCATCATCTTGATTTTGATTTGATTTGATTGTCCATAAATCTGTTTTAATGTTTTCAATGGTGGTGAATAAATAAATTCAAATCAATATTATCACATAAAACGTACATAAAAAAATAAGCACCGCTTGAGGTGACGTCCTCTTCATAAATAATAATGTAAACAATGTACAGTTGAAAACTGAAGGTCAACAAAGAAAAATGAGAGAGAGAGAGAGAGAGAGAGATAGAGAGAGAGATAGAGAGAGAGGGAGAGGTGCATTCAGATATTAGCACCTGGCAAATATCAAGCCTGTATACACCCAAAACCCTGACAGAAGACCTGACTACTCAAATGATTATGTTATAAAGTACAAGGATACATGCTACAAAATGATAGATATAGGTGTATGTACAAATACCGATGTTACAAAAAGAGGTATTAATAGAAATAATTAATTTTTGTTTTGTAAACAAGGTTAAGGGCTGGTCAGACCCAATCTACAACGAAAACGAGATATGACCTTAGTATTGTTATCAAACGCAAGATAATCTGCCATTTTATATATCAATATATTTTCTTGTTGTCATCATTAAAATCTCACAAAGGTTGATCTCGGCAAGGATACTTTGGTAACTGGTGTTATCACACAGGGAAGGTCCATATTTATCCAAAGGATGACGTCATTCCAAATCTCCTACTCAAGGGATAACACAAATTGGACCTTTACTCTGGAAGAGCAGTGTGGAGTACGACAAGTGAGTTTCATTTTCGCGCTTCCAGAATTTTTTTTATATACTTTTTTATATATTCATGGTCTTTTTACTTATGTATTTGTCAAATGTCTGTATTGTGTTTGCATCCAATTTTTTCCCCATATCTACATCATTATATAATTACATCCAAAAGCATGAACTTCCTTGTATGCAAAATGAAAGGATTAAAACAAAACTATTGAACAAATATAAACAGTTCCATTCTAATTATGTATGTGCCTTGGCGATGAAGTCTCTGTGCCATGTTGCGCTTTTCATGGAAGAGTTATACCAAGTGATTCGAGGCAAGACATTAATCAACATTTGCCATCCTCCTTGGAGGTTTCCGGGGGTTATATGAATTGCATGGCCCTTGGGAATAGCAGCAGTGATACTGATGAGGCTTTTCTTGGTTAATACAAAATTATAGATTATTATCATCAATATTATTATTATTATTATTGTTTAAATTATTATTTTAAGAAACTTACACTCTCAATCACTTTCGTTCTCTTTCAGACATATGCAGGAAATTATGATGCTGCCTCAACTGTGACCATAGTGTTTCCTGAGCCAGTAACCACACGGTACGTCAGGTTTCACCCTGTAACATTAATTGGACCTGGGGCTTTGAGATTCGAAGTACTTGGTATTAACAATTGAACCTTTCAAAATCCATAGCTTTATTCGTATTCGGACTTTCACTATGACTTTCTTAACTGCTTCTATCTGTTGTGTTCTTTAAATTTATAAGAAAAAAAACTTATTATCAGGATGGATGTTCATTTTAAACCAGAATGTAGATGTTCGATGAAAGTAGTAACATCTAAAAGTCAACGAGGAGGATTTTTCAGTATGAGAAAAAGTCGTTTTTCCCCCTGAATCATTCAGACGCGAATTGGCAGACTGAGATAAACCACCAATTTCCCGATCGCCAGTGGTTGTCGTTTCGGTGATTACAGTGTGTCAGACAGCTGGTATGCGCCCCGTCCGGGTTCATGCTGTCAGGTTGCGTTTGATCCAGATAGCTTCCTGAATCCTACTCGCCCAATCTTGGTTCTCTCTCGCTACGAGCCGCGTGCCATCCCAGACTATAACGTGATTTTATCTGACCGTGTGATTTGTAACAGGTAAATTTTCCTTTTGTATGTAATAAAAGAACTCTAAAATCATTATCACAACCATCCTGATGAAACTCTTTCATAATGGACTTTCATGATTGTTTTTGTAGATTGATTCAATCTTTATTCACTTGAAAAATAATGTAAATATAACGTTTGATTTGTAGAGGTGTCGAAGTCGGGTTGCTTAATCACTTGACTGGGAATGCGGAGGTCGTTGGTTCGAACTCCTGCACGGCAGTTATGTCCTTGAGCAAGACATTGTATATACATTGCTCCTCTCCACCTAGGTTTTAAATTAGTGACCGGTAGGATACACAGGTAAAATGGCGACCAGCTGGATTGCTCCACAGGGAGTAGAGACTGTGCACATTAATGTGTGGAATAGTAATTGAATCCAATGACCGGGGCAATATTAATATTGTACGCGATTTGAAACATTATAACTGGTAAAGCGCTTTAGAAAAAGAAAAAAAAAGTTATTATTATTATGGTTATTTTTTATTAACATGTCTTTAATACCAAAATACCATTATTTGTCCAATTATAAAGGAAAGGAGATTATTATTATAGAAGAGTATTTCTGTTCAATTTGTCTAAATGATTATGCCACTGCTTAAGTCTATTGCATTGTTTACAAGCCCAGTATGCCGACGGTATTGCACTTGACCAAACACCACCACCATTCATTTCAAAGTGCATTTGTTAGAGTAAGCACTTTCTGTTCAGCGCATGTTTAAATACATATGCTATGTTATAAAACAACTGACAATGTTATGTTGAGATTACAGGAATTTCACTTATACATGAATGTATAAGTTAATATGGTAGGTTTGATGGGAACTACAGAATTGAAAATGATTGTATGAGTAAAGGTCAATTAATTCAACTTGGTTATTAGACATGTTTTATTTTTAAGTGGAAGATGTAAGAGGTGTTGCGCCACCTCGTGCCGGAGACAGGAAGGGATATGTATGATGTGTTCAAATTTAATAGTTATTTTTATCTTGTTTAATAGATGTGGATTAAACTAAATTGAATTGAATTGAATCATCTGTATTGTATTACGTGTATAACATAATGGCTTGTTCAGACACAGATAATGTATGATGTGTTTAAATTTAATTGCTATTTTTATCTTTTTTAATAGATGTGGATTAAACTAAATTTAATTGAATTGAATCATCTTTATTGTATTACCTGTATATCATAATGGATTGCTCAGACACAGATAATGTATGATGTGTTCAAATTCAATTGGATTTTTTTTTTTTAATTTAAACGTGAACTAAACTAAATTGAATTGAATTGAATAACCTATATTGTATTACCTGTATAACATAATGGCTTGCTCAGACACAGATAATGTATGATGTGTTCAAATTTAATTGCTATTTTTTATCTTTTTTAATAGATGTGGATTAAACTAAATTGAATTGAATTGAAATTTCTTCATTGTATTACCCGTATAACACAATGGCATGTTCAGACACAGATAATGTATGATCTGTTAACATTTAATTGCTATTTTTATCTTTTCTAATAGATGTGAATTAAACTAAATTGAATTGCATCAAATCATCTTTATTGTATTACCTGTATATCATAAGGACTTGTTCAGATATTGAGCGGTGAAGCAGGGGCGAATCAGCGGGAGGGGGGGGGGTAGTGGGCACTTTTTTCTCCTTTTTGGCCTACGGGGGGCGTCTTCTCTTCTTTTTTTTTGAAATGGTGACATTAACGTTACCATCTTTTTTAAACCTATTCTTTGGGAGCTGGAGACCCAACTTGCACCAAATTATTCCAAGTAGCTGCCGTTTTCTAAGGTTGCACAATAGAATCTACAGGAGTTCTGTTACCTTTGATGTTGGAATGTTACTTTCGATGTAGGAAAGCTTGAGTATAGTGATTTTGTTTACTAAGAAATATCGTTAATATTTCACCGTTTTATTTGAACTGACAAGGGGAAAATCGAGCAGACGATAAAACATAAATAGAAAAGCCTAATTATGTTAAGAACTTTGCTTACATTTTTTAGTAGCAGTTTTAATTGGTGAAACATAATTAAAAATTGTCAATCCTAAAACCTGCAACTTCATGTGCAGTTCTTTATGATGTTGTATTTCAAATTAGTGCCCACACATGCCCAGGCGAGTCATTTTGAGAGAACCGGTCAATTTGTATAATTTAATTTTTCGAAAGCTGAAGTGATTTTATTGGCTAAATTTTCTAGTGCTTATAGAACATCTATAGGGGCATCCAAATATATCGATACTTTAAAGAATTACTATCCAGACAAACACATCTTAGAGATTGTCTCATACAAATAACTCCTGTTCAAAAATCTGACCCGCCTATTGTTCCTATTCCCATCCATTCCTATAATTTGACCCTCTTTAATTCTACGATTCCGTTTTCCTTCATTTTCTCCCCATGTCTGTGCTTTACTCTCATGCCTGTAACCCCCTTCCTCTAACTAATTTTCTCCCTCTCCCATCCCTTTCTACCTCTGTACCTTTCTGTCCCCCCCCCCCCCCCATCACTCTCGCCCTCATGCTCTCTCCATTCACCCCTTCTCTCTCCCTGCCTCTCCTCTATCTCAATTTCCCTCTCTCTTTCACTCCTTCTCCCTTGTTATTATAACCTTGTATCTCTCTCTATCTCTCTCTCTCTTTCTCTCATACTCTCCCTTGTAGCGTCCCAAAAGTGATGAATACAGATACTTCTTACAACAATACTCAGAACACACATTTAATCATTGTTTAATTCTACATTAATACCATTTATTTCAAGCTATCCAAACATTCTTTGATCCATATATAACCATTGATGACATGATGTGACGTCACACTTAATACTGCGCAGTAATTGGTCAAATCAGCTTCTAGTCTTCTCTCGGGTCGTATTTGTGCATCCCTAAAGAGTCCATGGTCGGGTTTGTTGGCAGTGAGATTCAGCGGGTTAGTCTAGATTCCATTACCGCCTCCTTGGCCTATAGAAAAAACAGACAACAATATGACATGTAAAATGCGATAAACAAGATATGGCCAGTTAAAGATAAAGGTGAGTTCTGGTTTTAAAAAAAATTAAACAAATTCTCACAGAATCAAACGAAACTTTCACTGAATGTTCAAGATTACAAATAAATGTCATTTGCAAAACAACTTTGGTAGAAAATGTATACTGGCTGGGTAATGAGCATAGAAAGATTATTAAATCAAGGTTAGTAGCCCCGACATCATTAGTTTAGTCACATATGAAGAGCTTGATTCCAAATGGAGCTAAATCCATAATGTATCAAAATTGAGTTATTTGTCTTAAAATACTGATTTCCTACATGGGGACGAAATGCACTATATAACTTTCAAAAATTTCATCAGGAAGTATGCAAATATTTAGGTAGCATATATAGCTAAATCCAAATCGGTTTCATTCCAAAAGGAGCTAAATCCACTTTGGGTACTTCTGAGTAAATCCCCTTTTTTATTTCTCCACTTTCCCTTTAGCCATGTACCTTCATGTTGTTATTTATGTTAAAGGTGTCACCCTGGACCAATAATATATGATAAGAAAACAAATCTACCCGTTATTTCTGATTTTTACTTAATTTTAGATTTTGTGGATTTAGCTCCTTTTGGAATGAAACATGGATTTAGCTCCTTTTGGAATGAAACGGATTTAGCTCCTTTTGGAATGAAAACTGTGATATGTTAGTCTCTTTCTTGTCAAAGGTTTTTTTAGTTGTGATTTCCCTATTATTATTTAAAAGGAAAGGTTTGCTACTAAATTTGAATAAATTTCAGTGACTTTCTTGAGAAAATATGAAAAATTTCAGTTATAATATCGTGTTTCATTCCAAAAGGAGCTAAATCCGCGAGAAAAAAACAAATCTAAAAATTTAGTAAAAATCAGGAAAAACTGGTAGATATTTCCTTATCATATATTATTGGTCCAGGGTGACACCTTTAACATACATAACAACATTAAGGTACATGGCTAAAGGGAAAGTGAAGAAAAAAAAAAGTCTACTCAGAAGTACCCAAAGTGGATTTAGCTCCTTTTGAATGAAACTCTTCATATACATCTTTCTGTGTACAGTGCTTGTTACTTTACCAAGACTGGGCCAAATTTATGATGATTTTGATGACTCCAGAACTTTGCAGTACACACCAATACTAACATTCTACATGATCAACTTTTTCTGATCCATTCCACACCTTTTCTTTCACAATGCAATCGGATGTCCAGAACTCACCTTTATCTTTAAACCCCTCAACATCAATAACCACGAAGAGAAAGCAAGCAATAGAGAACGGGAATAAGGAACGGAGAAACAAAGGAAGAAATGAAGAGAGAAAGAAAAAATATAACATAGAGAGAGAGGGAGAACGAAGCAAACAAACACATCAACAAAGAAACAAAGAAACTAAGACTGATGACCACTGCAAACTAAAACTTTGTGAGCGTCATTTAGAAAGGGTTGGAACAAGGTTTTTAATTATTTGATTTACTTGAGTGCATGTAAAGCCTGCAAAGATGAGAGACTATCGCTGCGACAAGCTCTAATGATATGATTCCCTCTTGACATGAACTTGCGAATCAAAAATTGTACGCTTCTTGTGATAACTTTTATGAATCTAAGCTGTATTTCTTTGGGATCGATCCACTAACATCAAATTAATCCATCAAATAGGCCTATGACAAAAATATACTAGAGGGCAGATTCAAATCCACTGGTTCCGAGACTTTTTCTGACTTGTCTATAATTACAAGATCGAGCACTCGATCTTCGTTTACTGGATGCGAGCAGAAATGTATTTTGTAAATTGAAATTACTTCTAAGAAGTCTAACATTGTACAACCCTCATAACAATGTCACCTCCCCCCCCCCCCCCCCCCATGGTAATAGTTGACCCCCTTCAATGGCTGGACTCCCTCACGCTTCGCCATTGGGAGTAAATTGGTTTGGTTTGAGAAAGAAAACAAATTATATCCACACCTACTTCGTGAATTCGAACCATTAAATATGACAGTGACTTACCACCGCAGAAAGCGACCTTGTTTCCTCGTCTACTGCACCAACAGTTCACCATGGTATCACAAGCTGAACAGAAATGAGAAGAGAAATGAAAATTGATATGCGTGAATCATAGATTGAGGATGAATGCACGAATAAGGAATTTATGGATAGAAAGGAGACACTAGGAGAGAGGTTTTGAACACGTATAGGCTAAACGTTCCGGAAATTGGGAGTTGTACTTTCTTTCTTTCTCTTTTTTTTTTCTGTACGAACCTTTTTAAGACATGTGCCCTTTAAAAATTCCGCGCCCCCTTTTGGCTTACACGAATGGCTGAAAAGGTGGAAATGTGCCCCTTTTAAAATGTTGGTATTATTAGTATGTTTGTGTGTTGTTTCGTTTTTGTTTTGCTCCATTGTCATTGCTGTTTTGACTCTCATAATCGGATGATGTAGTAAACACTTTTTTTTCTTTTTTTTAACTTGTTGTTATTTTTTGGCTTCAGAGATTATCAGAGATGCATAATAACTAAATTGTACATGTCTCTAGATATCATAATTGCACATACATTTCTTCACAAGCTCTGTATGGAAAGGAATATACGCCTAAATCTTTATAAACATGATCCGTTACAGAGTTACTAGTTTGTGTTCGCTTGATTACAGCTTCTTTTTTTATTTGTAATTTAATTTTGCGCAATCTATCACCGGCCAGTTTCTCGCATTTTCCCGCTTGTATTAAAATAAACTAAATGATTGGGTGGACTTCGATCATTGGATTCGACCCTGTTAATAAACTAAAAGATAACTCACGCTTGTATTTCTTCATGGACTGCCCTCTCTTGACAGCTAGATAATAGTCTTGCATGACAGGGTCCCTCTTCATGAACTCGACATCAAAATCCTCATCGGTCTCTTGGAACTCGAAGGCCATGGCGACCACCAGCATGGCCATGAAAGCGATCAGGATCTTGGAAACCATTGTCTAATTTTAAAAAGGACAAAATAGTTCATAATGGATTCTCGAAATAGGTTGAATTTTAGACAGCTGAAATACAACCGATAGAGAAAACTCGAGATCGTTGCAAAAGGGGGGTTTAACTTTGACATGCTGGTTAGTACACAAAACAAAAACAAAGGAAAAACAAAACGGAAAAAGCAGTAGTACATTTTTATAAGTGCCCCCTTTTAAGACTCTCTTTTTAAAAAGGGTATTAACTTTACGACCTTTAAAAACATTGGGATGGGTGTGTCAATTTTCTCAGAGAGCACTCTTTTTCTATAACTGAAGTAATGCCATCATTGAAGATAACAAGGGCAGGGATGGGATTACGTTTAAATAGGCAAGAATAAATAGGGTACTGTGCAGTTTGATGTCCTCTTATGATATTGATCAAATACAAAATATCAAACATAAAATAAAGAAGAGCAGGCGCATCGTAATGTCACAAGTGGGATGCAGGATTATAAAACTATAAAGCCTATAATGTAGGTTTGTTTGTTATATTTGTATACATGTATCTTAACAAAAGCTCTTCAAAAATATTATCATTTTAATTGTTCCAATAAAGCCCTTAATACATACTTCACAAAAATGAAATAAAGTATAGGAAAATTATTAAAAAACGATTTATAGTAGTAATAATTATTTCCTTATATTGTTCAAAATTTTGAAAGACAGCAAAATGTTGTAAGTCGCAACAATACTTACGATTTTGTGAAATTGGCTGGCTTGGTGAGTAAAGTTGAATGATGCTCGTTGATCGCCTTAGCTCTTGTTCTTCCAAGCCCAACCCATCCTCCCTTATATACTCTAATCCCGTCTCCCATGACTGACCCATCTCCGGTCGCGGTAATGAACCTGGCATTTGATTGGTTGATCCTTTATTAAGTTAGATAAATGGAGCTTGTATAATTACTCAACCAAGAAGTTCATTCCTTTACTTTCTTTCGTTCTAATATGGTAAGCATTACCAAGGTTGCTTCATATAGGCATAAGTTTGATTAGTCTTATTGGCTTAATCGGTGTCAGTGTTCTGTTCTGATATTCTCGAGTCACACATACCAAACCAGGGGCGGCGGAGCGTCTTTAATCGGAAGGGTGAAGGGCACCTTCTAAAAAAGGATACTCACGAGAGATGAAAGAGTGGAAAAGCCCGCACCAAGGCAAAGACGCGCTTATCCCGTGCAGGGCTTCAGTTTCCAGTGGGACGTGTTCATCGGCACTTATGGAAATATAAAAGAGGCGCTTATTATAAAGAAAATGGTTCTTTGTTGAAGTAAAAGGGGCACCTACCAGATTTGAATCGGGGCATTAATTAAAGATGAAAAGGGGGCAAATATGAGAAGGGGAAACGAGAAATAAAGGACCAGGGGCATTTATTAGAAAGGAATGAAGTACTTCTTACAAAGGATAACCTAAGTTGGCCCGGACAGCGTAGTGGCACTCGATAAAGTTTTTCGCCCTTATCTTACACATTAGAATATATATATATATATATGTTTCAGTATAATTTCGAAGTATCTCGAATTAGCTCTGCTCTCTAATAGCGACAGTATTTTGTAGGCCACTTTATAATCACTCTACGTTTAATATCTCTCACTAAACAACAATTATTTTCTTTCTCGCAATCACTTTGCAGCTCGGCCTGTTTGTGTATTGAAAAATGCTGGTAATTAAAAAATGAGGGTATGCATGCTTTTCCGAGGAAGATAGGTTCATTACCTTTCGTTCAAAGGGATACGTGTCAAAATAAAAGGGACACATATCAGAGGTGAAAATGGGCACTCATAATAAGGTAAAGAGGTACTTCCTACACAGAAAAAGAGGCCATTGTCAAAGTAAAAGGGGGCACCTCTCAGATTTGAATAGGGTCAATTATCTGACACTGTTAGGGGCACTTTGCCTAAGAAAAAAGGGGCATTTTGGGGGAACTTACAACATTGGCGGCACTGGACCCCCCCCCTCCCGCCTTCGCCTCCCGCCTCCCGCCTCCTTCCAATAAGGAGCATGGTCCATTGTTTCCTTTACCTATATCTGAGCGTCCTCCTCTTTGGATAGATTTCTTGTTACTCCCTTTTTTTGAGCGGACCTCTTGTCGCCCTCAATTTAAATACAAATTGTTTCTCACATTATGAAACAATTTACCCCAAGAGAGCTGCCGATGCAGAAAATCCACACATATTATATTTTTCTTTTGTTTACCATATGTTATAAGATACACATGTTTGAAGCCTTACAAATACACTGGTTAATTTTCGAAAGGCCAGACCAACAATTAAAAATTAGCAATTATTAACAATTTATTACATAGCTATCGAATCTGCGTAACCCGGTATGACTTGCATGAGCGTAAGTTTATTGGGTCAACGCTTCAGTTAATAAGTTAATAGATGATTAGGTGACATGGGCATTCTTCGGTTTATCAAGTTGTTGATACGATAATTAAACATATCTAAGCCGCGTCGAGAGTCGTTGATTTGTAAATTGGATCACAGAAGTCAGACTTCTATTGTTATTCTTATAATCCCATTGATGAACATCTCATCGGACTGTCAAATTGAATAGGGATTCAGTTGGTTTTACTCAACAGACAAACAGACATATAGACATAATCGAAGGAGACAAAGAACTGAAGCTACACAATGGCGTCATCTATAAGTATGAGTTCTCAACTGGTAGCTGTGATTCTGGCTTCTATTGTGGCCGTTGCTAGTGCAGGCTTTGGTACGTATGTTTGTATATATCAGCTGTATCAATTAAAAATAAAATGCGGCACACAGTGTGTGCGGGCAAGCACTGAATCCAATGACCGGGGTAATAGTATATTTGTAAAGCGCTTAGAGACATTTGTGTTAAGCGCTATATAAGAATTAAATATTATTATTATTAGTATAACATAATTTCGAATTATTATGATAATAAAAAGGTGTTACTTTATCCAGGGTAATAATAATAATATATTAGATTTGTATGGCGCCAAATCCTCTTGAAATCAAATGCTCAGGGAACACTTTTCAGTAGCCTCATAAGTTCCAATGCTGTCCTTCCTGTGGTCGCGGCCCTGTAATTATTATTACTTCTGCCTCGCCAAGTACCCATTTAACACACCTAGGCAGAGAGGGGCAGAATAATTTGTGCAAAACGCATTGTCCAAGGGTGTAAGCACCGAGTAACGATTAAACATAGGCCCTCTCGTATAGGAGTTGAGACTGCTTTCTTCGCTACACAAAATTGCATTACATTAAAGCAGTATACAGTGTGTAAGTGTAAAAACGTATGTGGTGACGAGTTGATCTCAACTACGTGCAATTAGAAATTTGAATATTTTCATGAACGCATTATTTTTGTTAATGGATTAAATGAACTTTGGACTTGGAATTTAAAAAAAAAGAATTTGAGTGAACTGAAAGTAAATAAGATCACCTTGAAATGTGGACCCCTCACTTAGACTAAGGCCCTTTCCATTAGTGTCTTCGATCATTATGTAAATTTTCAATAACATGCCATTATATATTGATTAACTTTATAGATACAAATATACATGTATCTACCCTAGCCCACACGGTTAATCTTGTTTTATAATTAACAGTCATGTACATACAAACTTGACCTTGGGTGAAAAGCTTCAGGACTGAGAGATTTGTGTATTAAACTGGAAGACTAAGTTTGGTCATTTCTGATTAAAGGGATCGTTTAACAATGTTAAATCTGAGATGCACGGCCCTATGTGTTATCAGTGTTTGTGATATGGTGTAATATTGAAGCCCTAAACAAAATTGCTCTTCGAAATGATCAAGAAGTGCCTCAAAAAAGCAAAAACCTTTAAGTGACCGGTTTTACCATACTCGTTTTCCCAAATAGACTGTAGTGTTATGAAAACCTTTTGGCAAACGCATAATTTGATTTCGATTTTCAATCATAAATATCTTGATAATCAGACAGACGATCAGCTTGTAAAAGTCATGGGGTTCCTGACTGACCTAAATGTTTATAATTATCATTGCACCATGAGCTAAATCAAGGATTTTTTAAAAGGATCTGAGACAAAGTTACCAGATCCCTTTAAAATGCAACCTAGAGTTGACCAAAATAATGATAATAATGATATGGATTTGCATAGCGCTTATCAATAAGAAATACCGTCTCTAAGTGCTTTACAGTTATTATGGGGATTATTCTTAATTTTCTGGTCACCGTGAGGGCATATGGTAATTAATAACACAAAAGGCTTTCGTCATCCTACCAGGTCCTCATCTCTCTCCTGGGTATGGAGTGGTCAATGTAAATGAATGACTTGTCAAAGGACATTAGTGCAGTGTCGGGGATCGAAGCCACGACCTTTGTATTTCAAGTCAAGTGCTAAACCCACTCGTATACTACACCTCTCCTAGATAAATATATATATAGAAAAATAATAAGAGAGGGAGGAAGAGAGATATAGAGAGTGAGAAAGAGAGGCAGAGAGAGAGAGAGGAAGAGAGAGAGAGAGAGTGAGGGAGAAACAGAGAGAGAAACAGGGAAAGAGAGATCAAGAGAGTGAGAGAGAGAGACAGGGAGGGGATAAGGGAGGAGAGAGAGAGACATAGAGAGAGAGAGAGAGAGAGAGAGAGAGAGAGAGAGAGAGAGGGGGGAGGGGATCGGACATCTAAAACACTATAAGTAAATCTACTTCAGTATCAATTTTGAAGGGAGGATATTAATCAGAGAAAATTTAGCTATTATGAAATAAATGTAAAACGAGAAGCTTGTGAGAAAAAACAGGAACAACATATTTATTCATACGAAAAAAAAAGGAAAAAAATTATCTGCGCCCACCACGATTGAAATTTATGGTCTAGTCATAATATTCACAAACAGAAATAATGATAAGCAGTTTCAATATATGAAAAGGATGGGCTATATTGAAGTCAAAACTCTTTTAGCCTTGCAAAAAACGCCACCCGTCTATAAAAATTAAAAAATCCACCCCCACTTGATGCTTCCTCATATCGTTCAGTCATGATTGAAGCCTGTTATTGAGCGGTCTTTCTTATTTAAAGATGCGGGTTCCACTGTAATTACTAGTTAATAGTGTCTGTCTTATTAGCAACGTTTTATAGGGCTTATGTAAACAGTCGATATGAAAGGTTACTGTGTAGATCGTAGCATACATCTTATCTCATATTATTGGACTTTATCTGCAGGTGACTGGTGTGGTTATTAACAGACCTTCAAGATTGTGGTTGGTTTAAAGTTCATGTTCGTCACACCCTTTTTGGTATCCCTATATGAACTCACCGAGGAAAAGACAATTAAAGCATCGCAGATTTTTTTTCTAAAATAGAGAGCATGGAGGGCGGGGGAGGGGGGAGTCCGATTACACAAATTTCCTGACGAGCAACATAAAAAGGGAAGAGGATATTAGGAGAAGGGGGAGGGGAGGGGAGGGGGTTCGATTACCCGAATTACCTGACGAGCAACATAAAAAAGGGAGACAGATAATTGGAGATGGAGGGGGCGTCGGGGGTTTCGGACCCCATTTGTGCATTTAGTCAGAGCATTGTTTCTACTAATTGCCCCTTCCTCATTTTAAAACTATCAATGTTGTTTTTGATTATTTTCCTATTCGTTATTAAATTATTCTTTTGTGGATGAGACCCAATGATCAAACCCCTGAAGTCGCCCTATCTATGTTGGACATAATATAAGAAATGTTTTCCCTCGTTTTCTTGAAAAGTAAAACCATTTTGTTCATCTTCATCTATATAGGTCCGTCTGCCGATGGTGAATGGACAGATGCCGATCTGGTTTCTTACAGCGTGGTTGGGGGCGTGGCAGGAGCCATACTCCTTGTAGCAATAATGCTTTATTGTCAATTACAAAACGTAAGTCAATTTAATGATTATTATTATCTCACGTGATTTTTTAGGAAGGTTGTACATTATTGATTACAAAATATTTGCAATATAATATTGAAAATGAAGGAATAAATGGAAATGGATTAACCTAAATACACTGAGTGGTTTTAAAGGGGTTGTGTGTCCCTATAGATTTTCGAGGCAACCCCTTAAAAAATTGTGAGGCATATGTAGAAAATTAAAGGAAAAACAAACAATGATAGCAAACTACCCTCAGGGAAAGACGAAATATCAGAAAGGTAGACTTTGTGAAAGATTGAAAGAAGAGATATCCGTGACTATGTCACAATCCATTGACTAAAACTGCCAATTTGAGATTCACATAGACTTAGTGATCTCATATTATAAACATTCTTTGCTTTCTGATTTCTGTTCCGATATTCTTTCAAACTTACGCCATTCTCGTTATATTATTTGTCTGATTGAATACCAATTAACTTATTACAAGGACTGGATTGCCCTAATGACCATCAAGTACCCACAGCCTCCAAAAGCTTTCCCCTACAATATCTACTAGAACTACTCCAGCCTACATAGACAAAAAGTGCTGTTTATGGGTGTTGTGGTTCAGTGGATAAGTCTCCTGACTGTGATCCACAGGGTATGGGGTTCGAATCCATGTCGCAGCACTAATGTCCTTTGACAAGATATAAATATACCATTTTCACAGACCACCCAGGTGAGATGCAATATGGGTACCCATGCAGCAGGAATTAATTCCTGAATTAATAAATTAATTAATGACCAGGAGTGGCAATGTGCCAGACATGAGCGCTGTACAAGATTCTACTATTGCCATTATTATTATTAATAATATTATTGTATAAGAGGAGGCCCAGTATTCTTAAAATGTGAAGATTAGCAAAACAAATAAATAAATTACGGAAAGGAATTTTGGAATAAAATGAACAAGAGAAAAGAGGAAACAAAAGATTATCAGGAGGATATTCCAGATCCCTTTATATTCAATACATCACTTACAACTCATAGGTATGGAAAGGGGGAAAGCACAGTATCGGACTTGTGTACTGAAGGCATATGTCAAAGATAGAGGGTATAAACGGGCCGATTATTACCCCCCCCCCCCCCATACACACGCATTCCCACTCCCCCCTCCACGATGCGCCACTTGCAGACAGTTGAAGATTGCGGTAATACTCACTCTTTTCTTTGACATGTCTTTGAATCTCAATGAATTATATTTTTTTCTATTCCAAACCCTTATTATTTGACTAATCTATTTTTGTGTATTTTGCTACAGTTTATAAAAGTGGGCAAGATCGAAGAGCATGCGCAGAGGAAGGCTCGGCACGCGGTGGCTACACAGGAAGCTGAGATCAAATCTAAACAAATCGCTGCCCAGAAGGATAAAGCCAGGAAGGATGTCGCTGCACAGAAAGCCAATCAGAAAACCAAATAAGATGGGACTGAAACAAACACTTTCTTACAATGATAGCGAGTGAAGACTGGTGCGAGAAGCTGAGAAGTTAATGACCCGCTTTCATCATCAGTGACCTAATTATATCGATAATATTGAATAATACAGGGTGAGTCAGAAAAAATGTCCTACTTTTTAAAAGTT